CGTCGTCGTCCTTCTCGTTGCTGTTGTTGTTGTTGTTGTTGTTGTTGGTGGTGGTGGTGGTGGTGGTGGTGGTGGTGGTGGGGGTTGTGGTTGTGGTCGTGGTAGTAGTTGCGGTCGTGGTAGTGCTGGTGGTCGTGGTAGACGTAGTGGTGGTGGTGGTACCAGTAGTCGTCGTCGTCGTCGTAGTAGTAGTGGTAGCAGTAGTAGTAGTAGTAGTAGTAGTAGTAGTAGTAGTAACTAGTAGTAGTAGTAGTAGTAGTAGTAGTAGTAGTTGTTGTAGTAGTAGTGGTAGTGGTAGTGGTAGTGGTGGTGGTAGCAGTGGTGGTAGTAGTAGTGGTGGTAGTAGTAGTAGTAGTAGGCAGTCATCAAGTCCGGTTTCAAAAGTAGTAGTAGTAGTAGTAGTAGTAGTAGTAGTAGTAGTCGTAGTCGCGTGGTGACTTTAGTGATAGCACTGGTGATAGTCCTTTTTCGGCGTGGCAAGGAGTAGTATCAGGAGTAGTCGTGGTATTAGAAGTATCAATGCTAATTGTAGTGGTCGTAGTAGCCGCAGAAACCGTGCTGGTGGAGTTGGCCTGAACGGTCATAGAGAGATATCTGCATGCAGCCCGCAAGCAGCACGCAAGGAGTAGCAACTCTCCGTTGCACCCTTCCAGAGTGGCATCTCCATGATAATGTATCGCAAGCAATCGCTTGACTCGTGGTCGTCATCTACAGGCCGAGGCAGTCCCAAGCGCACTTCAGAAGCAAGTGGGGAGGCCGCATGCATGCCTGCCACGTGCATGGGCGAACGATGACACTTTTCTTCGAGAGGTTCCGGATGTACTTTACGGAATTTGCTGCAAGGTAAGGCTACTAAGTGTTGCATCGGGCAGACTGGCGGTTTGAGTGTAGTGTAGGTACGACTACAGTAACCTTGCACGAGCATCTCGGAGCAAACGCATCCCAAATTGCAGGTAGTTCTGTTCAACGACGCGAAAGCTTATGGGATCATCAAGGCAGACACTGGCGACTCGGAGGTGCCACTAGGGTAAGCGCACGGGATGCGTGGGTTTGCGAGTCTTTCTTGTTAAGAACGACGCGTTACAGCAGGAGCTGGTTCCCCTTTCACAGCGCACCCTTGCCGTGGCGACGAGGCATTCTTTTCAACCACGGGTCTAGCCGACGGCTACGGCACAATGGCGGTGGGCGACAAGGTTTGCTACATCGAGGAGCTCGTAAACTTCGATCCTTGTGCATCTGTTGATTTTAGTACGCACCCCTGTCATGGATTCGATTCCACAGACTTCTCAGCTGTCCTGCTCTCTCCGAAACTTTGCCTTGTCCAACGTGGACTTGCTGCTAGATTCTGCTGACCAGACCCTGTCAGGATCACGAGATGATAGAGGGGCAGCTGTGTGCAATTAATATCCGAAAGCGGTCCACTGCTGACTGCCGGCCTGACACCGAGTGAAATCTCTCGCCAGAAAGCTGCCGCTCGCGGATGAACATAGAAGCAAGGGCCAGCCAGAAGGAAAGATCTGCCCTGCGCCAGTTTGGAGATCAGCTTGTGGTCTGCCAGGCGGATGCTCAGACAAAGGAGGTGAGCGTGCTGAGAGATAGTTGCATGCGCTTTTCGTTTGACCGTTGAACACTGAAAGTTAATTGCCTTCGACAGGTTGCACGACAGTCTCACCACTGCTCTGTACAGGCTGCAGGCAGCTCACCAAAGCTTTTTTGACATGCATCGTCCAAGAGAAACGCTCGCCTGATTCTCTAACCCGGAACTATCTGTGCTACTTTGGTGACAGGCATCTTCCACTTTAAATGTCGTGGGGCTCGGGCTCCTTGTTGAGGAAACTAGGTGCAGCGAGTCAGCCTTTGAGGCAAAAAAAGGAATGGACTGATGCGTGAGAGTTGCACAGGGGGCGGCTATGCCCAAACCTCGTTAGTGACTCGCTGAGCATCACGTTGAGTATCGACTCGGTGTTTCGCAACGGCATCTCGTCCTGGTTTTCGTATGCCAGCAATGTGACAGTACTGCGGCCCAAGTGAGTCCACGACGGGTTTCAGCGGCCAGCCATGCCAGCAGTCCAAGGATCCCCGGATAAGGCCCGGCTGCTCTACTATCAGCAGGCCGCGAAGGACGCCCAGGATTCTCAGGAAGAGACGAGGGACATCGAGGGTGATGAAGTCCTCACCGTCCTCACCTCAAGATCTTCAGACCACAACCCCTTGAAGATTGTGGCAATGATCGCTCTTCTGGCGATGGTGGTGGGCATGGCAGGCTTGGCAGGTCGGAAGATGCTGAACTACAATGGGCCGGACGCGCGGGAACCAGTGTGGCTGCAGCTTGCTGCGCACAGGAAGAATGTCACGAAGCACGCCTCAGCCTCAGCCAATATCGCAAGCACCAAGATCACCAAGACTTGCCACTCCGCAGTCGCTGGTGAAGCGTGCTATGGTGCCGTCTTGTGGCACAAGTGGATCGGAACCATTGAGAATCCCGGTGCCTACCCCAAGGGTGTTTGGAGGGGTTCCAATCGCACAGTTATCCAGCATTACCTGCACGAGACTAATCAATCCGACTGTCCCAGGCCTTGCGAGAACGAGCCATACCCACTCCCACCACCCGCTCCGAAAGGATCGCCATCAATTTATTGCTTCTCCGTGGCCCGCCCTGGGCCAGAGATGGATACCATGCACCTGCAGAGGCAGACCGGAAGCGGTATCTTTGCCTGTGACGGCTTCGGGGTTTACAGCGATGTGGACGTGGACATCCAGGGGCTCAGGACCATCCCCATCGGCTCAACGGCATCCGGGGTCTCTGTCGACAATACCGCCGCGAACTCCCAGGTCTTCATGAGAACGTGGCTGACTTTGCTGAACAACGACGACTGGTGGCACTACGACTTCATCGCCAAGGTCGACCCGGATGCAATCCTCTTCCCGGAGCGGGTCCGGCCACACCTGTCCTGGCACGTTGGCGCGCCAGTCTTCTTCCTCAACTGTGGGAAATGGAAGCCGGCGATGTACGGGGCTCTGGAGGTGTTTTCCAAGCAAGCCCTCGGCAAATATCTCGCACAGCATTGGAGCTGTGAGAAAACCTTGCCGTTCTGGTCCTGGGGGGAAGACAAGTACATGGCCGGATGCTTGGAGATGTTGGGAGTTCAGGCCCTGCAAGACTACGGAAACTTCTTGCATGACGAACGTTGCTGGGGCGTAGATTGTGGCAACAAGGCCGCTGTGGCGTTCCACTCGTTCAAAGCCGTGAACAGTTGGTACCGCTGCTACCTCTCCTCGAAATGATGCAGCAGTTTTAGCGGAATCGACGAAAGGGTTCCTGTGTGGTTTTTCGATTTCGGGTTGTGCACGGCCTTTGCGAACTACTGAACTTGATTGCTTTCCGAACTGAACTTGATTGCTTTCCGAAAGCCAGCCATGGGAACTGAAGAACTACATCAGATCCTAGCGGTGGCCTCTGCTAAAAGCAAGGCTCTCCGTGTCGAGAGGAATGGTTCTCTTAAGGGTTCGCGTCATCCCCCCCACCCAAGCTTGTATGGTACCTAGTGGTATGTCCACTGCTTGGTGGCGGAGCGCAGGCCCGGACAGTTAGCTATGAGCCGTTGCTCGGAACCCAAAGGATGCCTTTAGACAAAGCTTGCAACGGTCGCCTTTTGTTAGTGTTTTTTGCTAGTCGGTTACGTTCTGCTTAGCCTCACGGCCTCGGCGCCTCGCCTGACGTGTGCTACACCTGCGAGCTTTGCTGGGGCAGGCTCCTTGTCAATTCCTGAAGAAAAGCGTCTTAGAGTTTAAAACTCTCTGCAAGCTTTTGCAGGGCTGGGGCGGGACCAGCTTCAGCGTTAAAGCGGAAGATGATGCTCAAGGGGACCAGGGAGGAACGAATCAGGAGTTACTAGCGTCTCGGGTTGACTGACCCTTGCAAGCGCCTGCCGAAAGCTGCATCGAATGGCCAGAAGGCCTGGACAAACTGACAAACTAATTCAGACTCTCATGCTTGATTAGATTATGAGTACTTCAGAATGCACGGTGCCACTTGGGGTCTGAGCCTCAGTGCCAGGCCCCAAAGTGGCAGGAAGCAAGCCGACCCCCGTACGCTGTGAAAACTGGCTCGTTGGTGGTTTTGCCGTGTTAGTGAGAAGACTTGAATGCGCGGAGCCTTACCTGGATCGTTGGAGGTGTGCATCCTCAAGCAGACAGCCAAGAATCGACTCAGGCAGACAGCCAACTGATGGGCAGAACGTATGCAAGGCACAGTCCAGCAACCAAACAAGCATGCAAGCATGTGGAGAAAGATAGAGCTGCAGGTCCACGATGTTGAATCAAAAGGTTGCGTCGAAGTGTGTAACGATGAATCCAACAATCAACCTGCAATCTTGCCATGCCCTTTGCTTGTCCGCTGGCACGAAGCGATGATCTCCCAGGCTCCGGAGCCTTTTGGGGGCTAAGGCTTACACACTCTCTGATGCAGCCACGGTCCAGTCTGGTCATGTTGAAAGTTCAACATGTTTAGTAGTAGTAGTAGTAGTAGTAGTAGTAGTAGTAGTAGTAGCAGCAGTAGCAGCAGCAGTAGCAGTAGCAGTAGCAGTAGTAGTACTGGTAGTAGTAGTAGTAGTAGTAGTAGTAGTAGCAGGAGGAGTAGCAGTAGTAGTGGTAGTAGTAGTCGTCGTCGTAGTAGCAGTAGTAGCAGTAGTACTACTACTACTACTACTACTACTACTAC